AGAGAGTTTATCCTAACCCTACTGGGAGTCCAAAATTAGCAGTAATCCTAAGTCCATTAGAGCTAGGCTCCTATTGGGACTAGGATTGTGTTGGCTATAAAAGGGAGGCACCCCCATGGGTCAAAGGTATGTCTTTTATGCTTTTGAGATTCTGTCTAGTGAGCTAAGCACTTTTGCTATCTTTAAGAGATGGATGAGCCACCGCCGGAGACTCTTCTTTCTGTTGCAGGTCGTTCGAGCTTAATCTATTATGCCAATGCTCTCCAGCTGAGTGCTTGATTGACAGTGTGATCGGAAAATCATCCACACAATTGATACTATTATAGTTTTGTTAGTTGTGTTGGTCTTGAATAGCAATGTAGTGGTTTAGTCTGGTTATTTGAAATGTGTATTAGAATTCTGTTGACATTTCAATTTTTGACAATGAAACGTAATCTTAAATTTCACATAATTAATTTTGTTACAAATGGTTATGATGATGATGAAGATGATGTATCTTTTAGTGTTTTTTTGTTTTTTGTTTTTTTTTTCAAAAATTATTTTGTTTTGTATCCTTTAGTGGTAGATGTGACGATAATAAAATTATTTTTTTGTTCGAGAATGGATTACATCATCCATCTCCGAAGTATGTCGTGGCACTATCATCACCACATCCACCACTAACACAACTACTAATACATTGGTAAGAATGCCTTCACATTGGTAGAAAATAATTCTAATTTAAGTAGATAATTATAAATTATTTTCTTATTTCAATTTGTTTCAAATATTAGAATTATAGGAACTCAAATCACTTTCACATATCCTCAAAGTTTCTGCCAATCAATTACATATTGGTGTTGAGCTTTTTTGGTAATAAAATCTCTCTGGTTTTCCAATGCACATTTGTTTTCTTCCTTCTTGGTGGCAGTATTGTGAAATGTGATTTGAATTATTAGTTTTTTTATTTTTGGGCAAGAGCAGATGCATGATGGGGCTCTGCCTTTGAGGAATGTTGAGAGTACATACAGCAAGCTGTTGAAACCCTTTTATCATCTGAGATATTTATGAAATAAATAAATGTGCAATTGATATAGTAAAAGTTGGGTTCTTTATGCATATGCATGTGTTGCTCACACGAGGGTAGGGTCTGAACTTTGTTGTATCGGTGACCTATTGCTTTCTTTAAGAGATGGTTGGGGATGGTTTTATAATGGTTCACTAAAATGAAAGCGACTTTTCATGCCCAACTCTTGTGTTTGGATATAGATTTTCTTGGAAAGACTATCAATTTTGGGACTAATTTTATAGTTGGATACAATTTTTTTATGAGCGTGTAACTCATAAAAAAAAAAAAAAATAGAATTCATCTTATGTGAGAAGGATTGTTTCTAATTCTGTAATTGTTTTTTGTGTTTTTAAATTTTTTGTGAAAAAATATTTGCTTTTTAAGCAAGAGATCAAATAATTTGAATTTAAGAAATACATTCAAAACTTTTAGGTTTGATTTTATATATATATATATATATATATATTAGAATAAAGCTTCAGAACCCCAGTGGGGGTGCTGGGGGTAGGGGTGCAACTCGGGCGGGCCCAAACCCTAAAAAAACTCGGGCTGGGCTCGGGTTGCTCGGGTTGAGCCCGCCCAAGTTGCACCCCTAGCTGGGGGTCTACTGTGATTGGTGGAATTTTTTTATTTTTTTTTGAGCCAATAACAGGCTGACACGTCACTGGGGATCTGACGGGGGTCGCCCCCACTGGGGGTCGGAAGCATTTCTGTATATTTTAATGTAAGTTTGGTTGGGTCAAACAAAGAAGGGCATATTTTGGCTTGTGTTTGGAAACATGTTTTTGGAAGAAAATTTCTAAAAACATGTTTGGTTACAAATTTTCTCAAAACAATTCCAAGATTACTTCTCTCTTGATTACACATCAATCAATCACTTTTTCTCTTTCCTCTCTCATTCTTAACCACTTTTTATTTCACTCATATCTATTTAACTACAACAAAATATTAAATTATTCTAAACTCACAAATTTTAATATTTTCAAAATATACAACTAAACAAATCAAAAAAAATTTCAAATTCTCTCCCCAAATTTTAAAAAAAAAAATCATCTCACACACCCAAAAGGTTTCATTGGCAGAATGTCACTGGGAAGGAATAAACAAAAAAAAAATTTAACTTTTTACATTTTAAAAAAAAAAAAAAAAAAAAAAAAAAAAATTTGTCAAAACCCAAAAAGGCAAAATAAGAGTAAGAGGGAACAGAGGGAAACAGCATAAAATGGGATTGGAATGGACTGGCATTATGCACAAAAGCACCACAGCAATGATGTCCCCCTCCCCTTCTTGCTCCCCCTGTCACTGTTGGATTGTCCCCAAAAATAAAACACAGAATTTAAAAAAACAAAATAGTAAAAATAAAGAGAAAATAACAAATCAGTGTAGGATTGAATTTTTTTTTTTTTTAAGATTAATGGTAAAATTTATAAATTTTAATTATTAAGTCATAAATTTTTTCATGTGCAAGTAATTATTTTTGAAAAGTACATCTAATTTGTGATTTTTAAAAAAATAAATCTTATTATATTATCATATATTTACATTGACATCATTTTGAGGTTAGGAGAAAATATAGCAATCTTTACAGTTTTGGCACAGTTACACTAATTTCATTTTAGTAAAGTTAAAGTGATCGAAACTAATAAAGATAATATGAAAATACAACGATACACAATGTAAGATATGTATTTTAATGTAAAAAATATAACAATATCATTTTTTTTATTTAGATGACTAATGAATTTCTAATGAAAAAGAGATTAAGTGTTATACAAATCAAAACCTTAAATGAGCTCAGTATAATTATATCAAATTTATAGTCTTATTATATTTTCTTAAAATCTTAAAAGAAATCAATATAATTTACCCATTATATAATAGAAATTTACAATCAATAAAAGGAGATGAGGGGAAAGAAAAATTTATTTGACCTCATACATCACATCTCATAAATGAGAAAATATACGTCACGTAATTTTTGTTGCAACTTATATTACTGTTTATAATTTTTAAATTATTTTTGGGATAAAGGCATATTTGATGTAATTTATTTTATATTTTATTTTAAACGTTCATATCAATAAATTTAATGTATTTTTATTCACAATTTATGAGTTAAAAAATATTTAAATAAGTAAAAAATTTGGTTATCATAAAAGTTGAAGGATCAATATTTTTAATTATCAATATTAGATTTTTAAAAAAATTACGCCAAATAAATTATTTATGTCAAACCTAACTCTACTTAGGTATGGTTTGGGAAGTTGGGTTACCGGTTTTTTTGGTTAAAATAGTTACAAAAAAATAAAATAGGTTTTTTAGACCAATAAAACAAGATATCATATTCAACCCATAATCATTACATTCTTTTTCTCACAAAAAAGTTAAAAAAATCAAAAATCCTTTCCAAACCAGACTTTTTAACACCAAGTTAAAATAATCAAAAAAGTCAAAAAATAAAAAAGTCAAAAAACTAACCCACTTCTCATATGAAAATACAACGATACACAATGTAAGATATGTATTTTAATGTAAAAAATATAACAATATCATTTTTTTTATTTAGATGACTAATGAATTTCTAATGAAAAAGAGATTAAGTGTTATACAAATCAAAACCTTAAATGAGCTCAGTATAATTATATCAAATTTATAGTCTTATTATATTTTCTTAAAATCTTAAAAGAAATCAATATAATTTACCCATTATATAATAGAAATTTACAATCAATAAAAGGAGATGAGGGGAAAGAAAAATTTATTTGACCTCATACATCACATCTCATAAATGAGAAAATATACGTCACGTAATTTTTGTTGCAACTTATATTACTGTTTATAATTTTTAAATTATTTTTGGGATAAAGGCATATTTGATGTAATTTATTTTATATTTTATTTTAAAAGTTCATGTCAATAAATTTAATGTATTTTTATTCACAATTTATGAGTTAAAAAATATTTAAATAAGTAAAAAATTTGGTTATCAAAAAAGCTGAAGGATCAATAATTTTAATTATCAATATTAGATTTTAAAAAAAATTACACCAAAAAAATTATTTATGTCAAACCTAACTCTACTTAGGTATGGTTTGGGAAGTTGGGTTACCGGTTTTTTTGGTTAAAATAGTTACAAAAAAATAAAATAGGTTTTTTAGACTAATAAAACAAAACATCATATCCAATCCATAATCATTACATTCTTTCTCTCACAAAAAAGTTAAAAAAATTAAAAACCCTTCCCAAATCAGACTTTTTAATACCAAGTTAAAATAATAAAAAAAATCAAAAAATCAACCCACTTCTCAAACTATGCCTTACAAGTTACGTGGTAAATTTTTTAAAAAATGCTAAAGAATGATTTGTAACTTCATGTATAATGATATGATAAAAGATTAAATCTTAAGGGGTTGATTTGTTTTTAAATTAATCAATGATAAACATAGAATAATTATTTAATTTTTTTAATAATTATATTTTGAAAATCCCAACCTTATTCTAAAAAATCTAAAATGAAAAACTTTATAAACACATAATTGGTTAGAATACATGTTGATTTAGCCTTTGTTTGACAAGTGAATTTAATTTTTTTTTCTTTTTTTGACTAAACTAGTTATAAAAAGAAAAAATAGGATAAAAAATTAAAAAGATAAAGTGGTTTTTTTTAGCTAAATTAGTCACAAAAATAAAATAGAATAAAAAGTTAACTTGGCAAAATACTACATCTAAATTATAATTATTTTATTTTTTCTGTCATAAAAGTCAAAAAATAATCCAAACAAACATTTTAATCATAAACTAATAATTAAAAAAACTAAAAAATTAACTCACTACCCAAACGAAACCTTACTAAATGGATTATTATAAGATCGAGTAATAAATTGTTAATTATCAGTATTAAAATTTTTAATTTAAAATAAAGTTACAGCAAAATGCCAACGAGTATCCACTGTACACAACATTGCACATAGAGAGAGAGAGAGAGAGAGAGGAGAGAGAGTATGGCGCCTGAAAACGTCGCCGTCCGATACGCCGTTTATTAACCTAACCACACCCAACAAGAAGAAGAACCTTCTTTTCTCACTCAATTCTCTCCCTCTCTCTCTCCGCCTTCTTTGACTGAGTCGACTCTCTCCACCCAACTCGAGTCGCCTCATCGGTTCATCCATTTCTCTCTCTAAAACAATCCTCAACAAAGGATCATCATCATCATCAGAGAGAGAGACACAGAGAGAGAGAGAGAGAGAGAGAGAGAGAGAGATATTGATCTGATTTCAATTATCTTCAACTCCGCTAAATTTGGCGGAGATCTCTGAAAAATTCTATCAAAAAATTCACTTCTTGATGCGTTAGGGTTTTGAGTGGGTGCGTGGTTTTGGGTTTGAGCTCTGAAGATGATGATATCAAGGGGCTTATTCGGCTGGTCGCCGCCGCATATCCAGCCGCTTACGCCGGTCTCGGAAGTGTCGGAGCCGCCGGAGTCGCCGTCGCCGTACCTGGACACCAGCGCTGAGCCGGTCCCCGTTGATATGGAGGAGGACATGGAGGATGGTGAGGAGATGGAACCACCGCCCGCCGCCGTGCCCTTCTCTCGGCTCTTCGCGTGCGCCGATCGGCTCGATTGGGTCTTGATGGTGGTCGGATCTCTCGCCGCCGCCGCTCACGGCACCGCGCTGGTGGTGTACTTGCATTACTTCGCCAAGATTATTCATCTGTTGGTTCATGACAACCCGGATACGAGGGATGCTCAGCGTCATCTTCTTTTTGATGAGTTCACAGAGGTAGTGTTTTTAATTTCAATGCTCTGTTTCAGCTACAATTGGTCATGATTCTTGGGTCTCTGTATTGTGTTCTATTAACTTTATGTTTAGGAAAAATTTGATTTTTTTAGAACCATTTTATCACTTTTAAGTACTACTGGGTTTTGATAAAGAATACTTATTGGTGTTTGTTGTACATTCTTGGTGCTATGCATGATTTTCAGTCAGTTCTAGAACTTGATTAGAGTGGGAAAGATTATGGAAAGTTCTTTGGTAAGTAAAGTAAAGTAAATTTTCACCACAGGGGGCGTAACATACTGTTTGGGGAAATTTCCAAAAGTTGTCTGAACATCAATTTGCAATTGGAAATTGAGATTGAGCTTCTAAGAGGATCCGTGGGAAAATAACTAAACTTAGTATGTTGCCCATGTTAGTGTGAGCTTTTAATGTTTTCTTGGAATGATGGGGCTTGTGATTCATTGAACAAGCAGAGTAGCAAGCAGGTGGACAATCTGTTGTGCCCCACGTTGGCTTTCATCCATTTCCTGTTTCGTTCTATGGTGAGAGGGTTTACCATGCTTGGTTGTTGTTTAGGTGAATATCAAAATTGATATTTATTGTCCTGTTTTAATTCAAACATGGGATTCCCAGTGTCCTGATAGTTTGAAGTTGGTTTTCCTAGTTTAATATGATCTAGTATGGTTAATTGTTATAATTGGCTCTCTTGGTTCTCAGCTTCTCATAGATATTTACAGAAGATGCATGGTTGATTGTGAGAATTGGAGGGTTTTTGTTTACCTTACAAAGATACTATTTTGAATGACTTGCATTTGGTAAAAATACTGGAAATTTTTGTCATTGAGTCAGTGCTTTTTGAATAACTTCACTATGGGATGCGTAGCATACCGCTGACAGAGGTTAGATGTCTAAGTTGTTTAATTCCAAATCTGAGGGCATGGGAATTCAATTCTTAATCACCTTTAACTGTAGTTAAAACGATATTTATATGTAAGAAAGGTGTATAATATTGCTTTTGAATATTCATATGTTGTTGACCCCTATTTGAACCAATTTTTACATTTGTAGATATCTTTGAGTTTTGAGCAATGTTTATATATAGGAGTTTAGTTGCTTTGTTTTCTTTCATTTTAGTATAATTATACTGGTGTCATCCTGTTGTGGCCTTTATAATATATTAATATTTATCAAAAAAGTGTAGTGATAAAAAAAAATTACCATGTGAAACTTTGAGTGAACTAATGTTTCCCTTATTTCCACGTAAACACTATTTTTTAGGAGGTATCTGATATTCCATATGTTGAATGCACATCACCAACCTTTACCTCGGTCATCTTGTGCCTGACACACTTGGTACTTTGTCTATGAAAGTTTCCATGTAAGATAGGTGGGTCCATGCCTTCCACTTTTGAGGTGTCAAAAGCATATTTAATGGATGTGAAGGTCATTGAATTTCGTTGGAGTTACAAATGAGACTAGGAAGCAACCCACAAACAAACCACTAGAGGTCTCCTTGGAAAACTATAGCATCATCACCTTCCCTAAGAAATTTGATGATAGGCTATAATAACAAAATAATCGCCTCAAGCACTCGATCTTGGAGACAACTATTATATTGTAGGATAACAAAGTATTATTTAAGCCTCCCAAGCAACTATGAAGCACGGGTACGGGTACGGGTACAGATACTGATACTGGTACGATACGGGTACGCCGATACGGTAAAATTAAAAAAAATAGAGTACGAGTACGAGTACGATTACGGCTTAGGACGCTTGTAAAAAATATTTATTTTTAATTTAGAATAATGCAAAAATTAATTAAATGCTTTAATTTGTTAATGTTCAATCTACAATTAACATTTAATGTCAAAAGTAAAGGTAGAAATGAAAATTAAATGTCAATATATTAAATAACTTACAAACCATTGTTTAATTTTAAAATCATGCTAAGTATAAAACAAAAAATAAAAAAGAAGTCTAGTGAAAGGAGTTTTATCTTTGTAGTAGAAGAAAATATTATTTCAACTGAGGTACGATACGGCTTGGGTATATATTAGGTATGTCTGGATATACCAAAAATTAAGAAGAAAAAATTTAGATACGTGTTTAGTGTACTAGGTATGTATGCAAAAGTATCATACGAGATAGCAGACGCCGGTAAATATCCGGTACAGGTACGGCATATTTTTCGAAGTACCCATGCTTCATAGCCAAGCATTATGTTCTTCCTGCAACAGCTAATAGCCCAGATGAATTAATTACGTTGATGGAGCTGAATCTTGGTGACTGAATGCTAGAATTATTATGAAGAACCTTGTTAGTTTCTCCTATCTCATGGAAAAAGTTGTTTTAGATTGGCAATATTTAAGTTAAGAACATCAAAAGGTCAGAGAAACTATGATTGTTAAAAATTAATGCCAACCAGTAAGTGGTAGCTTGAGCAGCAGCATTGTCAAGTTGAGATGCTAGATGTTCCTTGCCCTTGTATTTAACTCGAATTATGGATGAAAAGCTTTTTTAGTTGGCAGTGTCTAGTCATGATTTCTGGGTTTGTTTTATTATTCAAAAAATAAAAGAAGAAAGTTGCACTTTAATGGGAACGGTTGAAAGGACTTTTTGAATTGGGCACAACCATGGGTTATAGGTTGCAATGCATTCTGCATCTGGAAATTTTCCACAATCTATGCAGTTTAGGGCAAATAGCTTATTTCTATATGTTTTCATGTTAAACAGTTTAGCAATTTGAATTTGTTCTCTCTGCTTTTGGTAAACACCAATTGCTTCTCCACTATTTGATCTATAGAATATCTGGGTTGTATTCTAACCACCATTTTGTTTTTGTGATGAAATGAGAATGATTTAATATCCTCTATTTAGAAGGAAATAATACTTTTCTTTTAACCCTTCCCCTGTTTCTTTCCACCAACAGTAATTAGGTTAGGAAATTATAAGATAAAGAATCTCGACACTTGTCCTCTGAATTCAATCATTTTGAAAAGATGTTATCCACAAAGAAGAATACTTTAGTTCAATGTTTATTTTTATTTTTTAATTCCAAGATCTATACTTGAATCAACTTTTGATCTGAGAAATGAAGGCTGCAAATGAACTGGATTGCCATTTAACAAAATATTCAGAAGGAAAGAGATTGTCAATTAACTTTTTCTGTTATTTCTGCAGCTTACTTTGACCATTGTCTATATTGCCGTGGGTGTTTTTGCATGTGGTTGGATAGGTAAGCCAAATGTTCATGCACTATTCACTTTTCTTTTCTTTCTTTCCCCCACATGAATACTGATTCTTTGCAAGCAACAATACTAACTCATTTTATGTAATAGAGGTCTCATGCTGGATTATTACTGGAGAACGGCAGACTGCAGTGATCAGGTCAAAGTACGTTCAAGTATTATTAGATCAGGACATGAGTTTTTTTGATACATATGGGAATAATGGAGATATTGTAAGCCAAGTACTGAGTGATGTGCTGCTCATCCAGTCTGCTCTCAGTGAAAAAGTATGTAACAGATGTGAAACATTGCCTCAAAAAAGTATTATGTTTTACTATAGAAGTCAGCTGCTTTTGAATTGGTTTGCTCTTTTAAAATATCTTGTAATCTTTAATCACTTTTGGCTTGACAGGTCGGAAATTATATTCATAACATGGCCACCTTCTTTAGCGGCCTTGTGATTGGATTTCTCAACTGCTGGCAGATTGCCCTCATTACTTTAGCAACCGGTCCATTTATTGTTGCTGCAGGAGGAATATCAAATATATTTCTCCATAGGCTTGCTGAGAATATTCAAGATGCCTATGCCGAAGCAGCAAGCATTGCCGAGCAGGTTTTTGTATTTTTAATTTTCGCTTTGCCCCACCTCGCCTTTGTCCACCTTCTTACTTAATATTGCTTTGATTTTGGCTGACATTTTTGGTGACTCAGAGGATAGAATTGTGTAGAGTTCAAAACACAAAGTGCTAAATGGTTGCTTTATTATGCGACGGTTTATTGATCCCAATGACTGAATTATTGGGTGTGATTGGGCCATCTTTGTGCCTGTGTAATTTTAAGTATGTGAGATTTTTTTTGCTTAATCATTTTCTTATCTAGGTGCGTAATTTTTTGAATGTACTCAAATTATGTGTCATTGTTGGTCAAGAGTAGATGATTGCTCTTTATATATATTTATATATGTACAATGAAGATACTGTTGTAGCTTTATTAATCTATTGGATTGTAGTCATTTATATTTTATTGCTAGGAGGCTGTTGTCAGGGAGTTGGTTATAGGATTGGAAAAAATAGTGATTTTTTAAAGGATTGGTAGAGAACTTTATATACCTTACTGTCATGGCCAGTCACCATGGGTGATCAAAATTACATGCATATTAGTTCCTATGCACTATTAGGGATTGCATGTTTCTGTATCTGTGGCTGTATTGCTAAGAAGCACGGACACTTCTAAGAAGGTAACGTATCCGTGTCGTATCCGTGTCGGACACCGACACTCTTTGGACACTTTCCCGACACGTGTCCAACACTCTTTAAAACGTGTCCTATTTTTTAAAGACCTGGACACTCTTTGGACACTTGGAGAATACATGTGTATCTCTTAAACACACGTGTCTATCAATTAGACACATGTGAAACCAATTATAAGTTTGAACAAAACAACTTAAGATACACTAATAAAACAAAAATCATATAAATTCATAAGAATTATTGTCATATTTAATATTTTTATTATCTTTGAATGATATATTCATATATATAACATATAATAAATATATAAAATTATATATTTCATGCGTGTCCCCCGCGTGTCGTGTCTTGCATTTTTTGAAAATTAGCGTGTCGGCGTGTCCGTGTTGTGTCGCGTGTCCGTGTCCGTGTCCATGCTTCTTAGCTGTATTGGCTATGGCCATTAGCCTGTTATAGCACTTGAAGTTGGGCAAACTCTTTTAAGGTGTTATATTTTTTTCACTTTTATTCCATTCTAAAACCAAGGAGCTTCATTTTAATTTGACTTTATACTTTTAGTAATCAAAATAGTAAGATTTGAGTTCAACCATACCATATGTCTCAGAATTCAAGAGATCTATAATGGCATTTATTTTGAAGGTAGGATACTATTATGTCCAATGGAGCACTAATGGTTAAAAACTAAATTTTTTTTGTTATATAAATTATTGCCTACAATGTTGCAAACCTGGTCTTAAAAAAAAATAGTTAAAAAATTTAATGTTTTAGATTGAAAATAGTAATCAACGAGGTCAATCTTGAGATCTTAGGGTTGTGGTTTCTAAAATTTGTGTCACTTGGTAATATCAGGATATAATATAATTGTAGCATGGCACCAACAGCTGTTGATTACATTTTAGTTGCTTTTGTGATTGGAGAAAATAAAAAGATCAATGTAGCTGACCTCAAGTAATTGAGACTAAGGCTTGTTGAGTGGAGTCAAATTTTATGATTGTCATTTTTACAGTGCTGATAAAGTGATAAGCTTGTTAGCCTTTGTTTGGTAACACCCCAATGAACTACTGATGGCACTAACAAATTGAAATGCTTGGACTTCTGGTCCCTGAAAGTTAGAATATTTTCACTTTAGAAACCTCGGAAGGTCGCCCAATATACGCAATATGCATGTCAATATAGCAGGATTGAGAGCCAAGCTTTTCGGTTGAAAAGATGTGTGTCCAAAATTTGCATTGCTTGATGAAATATAATCTTTTATTTCTGCAATTGTACCATCAATAGGTGTTTTATTATATTTGTTATCTGGTAACTTTAATTTATCAAAAAGTGGTTATTTGCAAATTTTATGGTGCTGCGGGGAGTACAAGCTTGTTACCTCTTACAATGGTACTGCAGCTAAGAATTGCTGTCACATGGTACTAATACAATGGAATACTTATACTTCTAGTTTCCAATTAGTAAGTTTAGATGCTTCTAGTTTGAAATCTGTAAATAAATTCACTTATTGTTTGCAATTCGTATTTTAAAAAATAGTTATTCTTTTCAAACTAGCAAGCTTGTTAGCTTATCTTAGTACCAATATTAATTGTAATCCTAAATATCATGGTGAAAATGTCCATGCAAATATTTTTTCTTGTCAGGTATCAATGTTACCAAACCAAACCACTCCAGTCCAAATTAGTCCTTGTGTCTCAATCAAGTGGGGTTGGTTACATGAATATATATATATATATATATTTTGCCATTTTGCTCTGTTAAGGGCTATATGCTTAGTTAAATTAAATAAATTCACATCATTCTTTGCTATAAATACTGAGAAAAATTAAATAGGCACCGAATTACAGTTTTTTTTTTTTTTAATTTAAATATTATTATTTTTATCTTTTTCTCCTCTTCAACATTCATGGACTGATCATCTTGCTGCAACAAAGCAAAGCTTAGGAATGAATCTAACGGAACTGTGGACCACAACTTGAAACCATGAACCACCGAACAGTGAGGTCATCATGCATGAATAATGACATTGACATGTAGTGGGCAATGAACACGATCAGTTACAGACTTCAAGTCACAATAAAGGCTACCATTGATCAATTTTCACTACAATATCTCATGTTAATTAAGGTCTTCCCCCATAACATTTCTGGAGATCATATCACTCTTTCTGATCGTTGCATCTATAGGTCTTTGTTGTTAAGCATCGACGTTGATAAAATAAAATTTAAGATCCATAGTAAATAAATCATGCTTTCTCTATCAAAAATCGTTTTTCCAATTATTATAAAAATTATATTTGGCAACCTAGGTTGAAATATGCATTTCAATTAGTTTGTAGGAGGTCTTTGTTGGGAAGAAAACATGTGCAATTTATTAACTTGTTCTCATTATTACTGACTGACACTCCTGATAGCAGCGTATTGTCACCATGACCTTGACCATTATTTGCAACCGATATTGTGGTTTAAATCCATGCCTTTTACGATTTATCTAGTTTGTGTAACTCCCTTCCAATACTTTGTGTTTGTGAGTTTAACTTGTGGTATGCATGCATTTATATATGCTTGTGTATATGCATTTATGTAGAAGATAAAAAATATGGAAGTAGTAATAATACAATAAATTGATCATTAAATTTAAGTTATAAGTCTCTCGTAGAACACTTATATTAATGTCAGACTTTTTGTAAGTGCCAACAGCCAACAAGTTCTGGACATGGTAAATTTGGTTTCCGTATCAATGAGTGCTCATCTTGCTTTTATCAATTATCATTAGTGAGTTTCTTGAATCCTACTGACTCTTGGATGCCATTCTCTTTTTCTATAATTTTCAGGCAGTTTCCTATATTCGAACCTTGTATGCATTTACGAACGAAACACTGGCCAAGTATTCTTATGCAACTTCACTACAAGCAACTCTGAGATATGGTATATTGATAAGTCTGGTGCAAGGTCTTGGACTCGGATTTACATATGGGCTTGCAATTTGTTCTTGTGCCTTACAACTTTGGGTTGGAAGATTCCTGGTGACTCATAAAAAAGCTCATGGTGGTGAAATTATAACAGCCCTGTTTGCTGTAATTTTAAGTGGCCTGTAAGCATCCTGCTTTTGCTTTGTTGTCCTAGCTGTCATTTTTACTGAGTTCCCTACATAGCGAATTTTGGAAATGCACAAAAATGTTTGAAAAAAAGTGAAACTTTTCTAAATGTATGTACTAATAATTAATTTATTGAACATGTTTTGAGGTTTGCTAATCCATTCACATAGAGGGTATAATAAATGACAATTGGGCATTAAATGTCAAATAAACTGAAAATCATTAAATTATTCATTAGGCATATCTATGTTACCATGTACAAGTGATTATGATTTCTAATGTTCATAAGGTTCCTGTCAAACAAGGTAAACAATAATAATAATGGTAGTAATAATAATATTTATCAAAAAAATAAAATAAAAATAATGGTAGTAATAATAATAAAAACAAACATCATGTGGGTTCCAAGGTGTCCCGAGGGGGTGGGGTTAGGGAGGAGGGAATGAAAACTTGTTTTCAAAACATGAGAATGCTCAAATTTTTTTTTTCCTCTAAATTTGTGGAAAATTTGAAAATTGTTACCATTTTTTGAAAACAAACACAGAAAATGGAAAACAAACATGTTACTGAACATAACCTAGGAGTTTGATTTTCTAATAATGTTTGTGTTAGTTTCTTGGGAAATGGAAACATTTCACCTGTTTTGCTGGAAACAAACAAAAGTATGAAACAAAATTTGTTCGTTGCTTATATATGATTTCTTGGTGCTTCAGTGGGCTGAATCAAGCAGCTACAAATTTCTACTCTTTTGAACAAGGGAGAATTGCTGCTTATAGACTCTATGAGATGATAAGCCGTTCATCCTCTGCCGCTAATCATGATGGAAATACTCTATCTTCTGTACAAGGAAACATTGAGTTTCGAAATGTATATTTCAGCTATCTATCCCGTCCTGAGATTCCTATCTTGAGTGGGTTCTACCTCACGGTACCTGCTAAGAAAACAGTGGCACTTGTTGGCAGAAATGGGTCTGGAAAAAGCAGTATTATACCACTCATGGAACGGTTTTATGATCCCACATTAGGTATGCATATATATGTATTTCCCATTTCAGCGGGTGTGCATGTTATAACAATTAAGGTTTTGCTGAAGCCTTAATGATCCTATCTTATTACAAATTCTTATGGTTTTCCATTGTGTGCTGCAGGAGAAGTCCTTTTGGATGGAGAGAATATAAAGAACCTCAAACTGGAATGGCTAAGAAGCCAAATTGGTTTAGTCACCCAGGAACCTGCATTGTTAAGTCTGAGTATTAGAGACAACATTGCTTATGGGCGGTCTGATGCTACGTTGGACCAGATTGAGGAAGCTGCCAAAATAGCACATGCACATACATTTATCAGCTCACTTGAGAAAGGTTATGAGACACAGGTAAAATTTGAGTGATAAAATATCTATCTAAACTATATTTCTTAGTTGATTCTGTATTGATCTCATAACTGGCTGTTGGGAATTTGTTTCCTTCTATGCATGTCAGGTCGGTAGGGCTGGTTTAGCATTGACAGAAGAACAGAAAATAAAACTCTCGGTTGCTAGGGCAGTGCTTTCAAATCCTTCTATTCTTCTTCTTGATGAGGTTACTGGTGGACTTGATTTTGAAGCTGAAAGATCTGTCCAAGAGGCTCTAGATCTCCTCATGTTAGGGCGATCAACTATTATTATTGCTCGGCGGCTTAGTCTTATAAGAAATGCTGATTTTATAGCAGTGATGGAAGAGGGTCAGCTAGTTGAAATGGGAATACATGATGAATTAATAGCCTTGGATGGCCTTTATGCAGAGCTTCTCAAATGTGAAGAAGCAGCAAAACTTCCACGGAGGTATTCTAATAAGAAAACTTTTGCTTTTGTTGAACATGGTAAATTATCTTGTATGAGGCACTGCTTTTCAAGGTTCTACATCTGAATATATAGGCACGAGAATAATCCTTCTTATTACACTATGTTCTTTGTAATAGTTAAATATTATCTCTTTAATACTTCTTTGTGTGTTCTTTATCTTTATCCAGGATGCCAATGAGGAACTATAAGGAAACTGCAGCTTTCCAAATTGAAAAAGATTCATCAGCAAGTCAAAGCTTCCAAGAACCATCATCTCCTAAAATGGTCAAATCGCCATCTCTTCAAAGAGTTTCTGGTATCCATTCATTCCAGCACCCAGATGTTGCATTCAATTCACATGAATCCCCAAGAGTTCGTAGCCCCCCGCCAGAGCAAATGGTGGAAAATGGTGTGCCCTTGGATGGTACAGATAAGGAACCATCTATAAGAAGGCAGGATAGTTTCGAAATGAGACTCCCGGAGTTACCCAAAATTGATGTTATGTCTGGGAATAAACAAACAACCAATGCTTCTGATCCTGAATCTCCTGTCTCACCACTCTTAACATCTGATCCTAAAAATGAACGATCTCATTCGCAAACTTTTAGTCGGCCACATAGCCAATCTGATGACATGGCAGTGAAAGTGCAGGAAGCAGAGAATAAACGATCTCGAAACGCACCATCGTTGTGGAGGCTTGTAGAGCTTAGCTTAGCAGAGTGGCTTTATGCTGTTCTAGGAAGCACTGGTGCTGCCATCTTTGGATCTTTTAATCCACTCCTTGCTTATGTTATTGCATTGGTAGTTACAGCATACTACAGAGAAGATCATCACCTACGCGAGGAAGTAAACAAGTGGTGCTTAATTATTACCTGCATGGGAATTGTGACAGTGGTTGCCAATTTCCTGCAGCACTTCTACTTCGGTATAATGGGGGAGAAAATGACTGAACGAGTGAGGAGAATGATGTTCTCAGGTACATGACTCGTTCCCAAATAGATTCTCCCCCCCCCCCCCGCCCACTTCTATCTTTCTGTCTGGCTTAACATAATATATGTATGTATTTCTACTTCACAAGCCGTCTTATTTTGTTCTTACTGTGTTCTGGATATGTACTTCTAACTCATTATGAGTGCATAATCTAGCTTTAGTGTGGTTTTATCGAATACCTTAATGTTACAGCAATGCTGCGTAATGAAGTTGGATGGTTTGATGATGAGGAAAACAGTGCTGACACCTTATCCATGCGTTTAGCAAATGATGCTACATTTGTGAGAGCGGCTTTTAGCAATCGGCTTTCTATATTTATACAAGACAGTGCGGCTGTTGCAGTAGCGGTTCTTATTGGGATGTTTCTACATTGGCGATTGGCACTAGTTGCTTTGGCGACCCTACCAGTTCTTACTGTTTCAGCTATTGCACAGGTTTGCATCATGTCTACATGCTTTTCTATGAAAATTCTATATATAGGTAATGACAAAATGAGTGCTTAATACTTCTCTCAATTGTTATCTCAGTTCATCACTGATTGAATAAACACCTGCAGATGACTACTCATAAGTTTCGAAGGGCTATTCTACATCAATCTGATGGGGAACAAAAGTTTATGTTCCTAGTTTTAAAATTTTAGAGTTTTGTAAAGTTTTTGTTCCTATTTTCTTGCTCACATGGTGTCTTTCTCTGTTTTTTACTTTACTTCACATTATGTAGGATGAATTTTGTTCTTCAGGTTCTATGTTTTGTTCAAATGGTTGCTTTATGATGTGTTTGGTTGGGGAATTTGGAGAGGGATTTGGAAAGGAAAAGGGAAAAGGTGTGTGAAACTAGGTGAAATATAGGCATGTTTTATTCTCATTTCACCTACCTTTTCCATTTCCCTTTCCAAATCCCTCCCCATATGCTCCAACCAAACACAGCATTAATCATTATGTTATAATAGGCATTTGTTGGTATGAGGTTAAGAGTGATCAATTTGTTATGCAAAGCCAGACCAATAAGAGCTGTAGTTCAATTTTTTTTACCATGATTAAAATTTTGGATGAAGAGAAAAAGGGGAGTAGATCCATCAAATGTCTTGTAGCTCTGTAGGTTTGAAATTCACCACCTCAACTGAGGAGTCTCTCTCTCTCTGATGGACAAATGAGGATAATTCTCTTTGAAATTTGGAGGGTGGTTTTATTTATCTGTGATGAGGGACTTTTATTTCTACGTATTGATTCAAAATTTATTTTCCGCACCTGAAGCACTATGATTTATTTGATACTTTCCCCAAATCCTGAGCAGCTACCAATTTAAATTTTGCAGAAGTTGTGGCTTGCTGGATTCTCTAAGGGCATACAAGAGATGCACAGAAAGGCTTCTTTGGTTCTTGAGGATGCTGTTAGAAACATTTACACTGTTGTAGCATTCTGTGCTGGTAACAAGGTTATGGAGCTCTACAGATTGCAACTACAAAAAATATTCAAGCAGAGCTTCCTTCATGGGATGGCTATCGGTCTTGGATTTGGATTTTCACAGTTCCTTCTTTTTGCCTGCAATGCTCTTCTTCTCTGGTACGCCGCTTACTCTGTTAAAAATCACTATATGCATCTGCATACAGCTATCAAGGAATACATGGTGTTCTCTTTTGCAACATTTGCACTAGTGGAGCCTTTTGGCTTGGCTCCCTATATACTTAAGCGGCGGAAATCGCTTACTTCAGTATTTGAGATCATAGATCGTGTGCCTAAGATTGAACCAGATGATAATTCAGCAATGAAACCCCCCAATGTTTATGGAAGCATTGAGTTGAAAAATGTCGACTTTTCTTACCCAACTCGCCCAGAAGTGTTGGTATTGAGTAATTTTAGCCTCAAAGTCAATGGGGGACAAACTATAGCTGTGGTGGGAGTTTCAGGGTCTGGGAAGAGCACTATAATATCATTGATTGAGAGGTTTTATGACCCGGTTGCTGGTCAGGTTTTACTTGATGGTCGAGATTTGAAACTTTTCAACTTGAGATGGTTGAGGAGCCACATGGGTCTTGTTCAGCACGAACCCCGATTATCTTCTCAACAACAATAAGGGAAAACATCATCTATGCAAGGCACAATGCAAGTGAATCAGAGATGAAAGAGGCAGCAAGAATCGCAAATGCTCACCATTTCATCAGCAGCTTGCCACATGGTTACGACACACATGTGGGGATGAGGGGTGTGGACCTAACCCCAGGACAGAAGCAAAGAATCGCAATTGCACGTGTTGTGTTGAAGAATGCACCTATTTTGCTATTGGATGAAGCAAGCTCATCGATCGAGTCTGAGTCAAGCCGAGTAGTTCAGGAGGCTCTTGATACATTGATCATGGGGAACAAAACCACCATTCTAATAGCCCATAGAGCAGCTATGATGAGGCATGTAGACAACATCGTAGTACTTAATGGGGGGAGAATAGTAGAGGAAGGGGCGCATGATTCGTTGATGGCGAAGAATGGTTTGTATGTCCGTTTGATGCAACCTCACTTTGGGAAGGGCTTGCGTCAGCATAGACTTATTTAGGCAGAGTTTTGGAATTGGTATTAATTTGTGTTTGGTGCATGGGGAAAAGTCTGCCCATTTTTCAAGAACGATGAGAATTTCTGCAATGGTAGTTGAGATAAACAAACAATGATGAGGTCTGACGCTGATGTTCATAATGGTGGTTTGGTGGCATTGGTAGTTAAATTGTGCAAATTTAGCAGGTGAGAAGTAGGGTTTTTTTTGTTTTTCAGAATTCAGTTAGTTTGTGGGGACAAGGTCTCAGGTTTAGATACATATTCTTTTGGAGGCAAAAGCATATCATTAGGTTAGGATTGTGATTTTTGTCTCCATGGTATATTGATTTGTTAATTATAGAGTGGAATGCAGTTGTAATTTCTCTCTGAATTTTTTTTTTTCTTTTTTTTTAGTTTGCTTGTCTGTGTGTATGGTTGATTGAGCTGTCTCTCTCTCTCTCTCTCTCTCTTGGCGGCAGTTCTCACTAATTTTCCTGGTTGTAGATCGTTCTTTCTTCCATTTGTGAAAAAATACATTAGCTTTAAAGGACGATAAAGTGAAAGGCATTTGTTGAAACTCTTTATTTTTGTATATAAAATGATTAGATTATTGACTAGTTATTTATTTATTTATTTTTATGATTTTTATTTCTTGTTTAGGAGAGAGATTCAAGGTGTTACAAAATTCTTCTTTGGTGAGAATCTATTCACACTTGTATCTTTTATTTGTATACTTTTTATCTTTTAGGAAAAATTATTGCATACGAGGAGGGGAGGAAACAGTGTGACATTGTATGTGGTTATTTTAATTTCTTTTTTTTATAAATATATATATAAAATAAAGAAAGTAATATGATAATTTGTAATGACTACTAACAAATAAGGTAACTGTCACATCTTCCATATTTTAAGTCCGGGTATCCAGAAATTACTCTTTATGTTTAGGGGCTGTATTTCCGAATGACCACAACTTCTATTTTTTGTCTGTTTAAATTTTTAATTTTTTTATTTTTTTTAAACTTGACTTGGTACCCATCATCACCCTCTTGGAGGCCTGGGTGGTTGGTTTTACTGCTCTCTAGTTTGCACATATCATATGCTTGGTTTTAGATCCATCAAGCAATTGAAAATATGTATATATTAGCTGCTAAAATATATAAGGGTTTAACAAGGACTAGCCATGGACATGTACACACTTCTTCAATGGCTGTTCATCTCTGAGAAAAGAATTAATAATAAAAAAAAAAAAAATCATTCCGACATAATGGTGGTTTGGTGGCATTGGTAGTTAAATTGTGCAAATTTAGCAGGTGAGAAGTAGGGTTTTTTTTGTTTTTCAGAATTCAGTTAGTTTGTGGGGACAAGGTCTCAGGTTTAGATACATATTCTTTTGGAGGCAAAAGCATATCATTAGGTTAGGATTGTGATTTTTGTCTCCATGGTATATTGATTTGTTAATTATAGAGTGGAATGCAGTTGTAATTTCTCTCTGAATTTTTTTTTTTCTTTTTTTTTAGTTTGCTTGTCTGTGTGTATGGTTGATTGAGCTGTCTCTCTCTCTCTCTCTCTCTCTTGGCGGCAGTTCTCACTAATTTTCCTGGTTGTAGATCGTTCTTTCTTCCATTTGTGAAAAAATACATTAGCTTTAAAGGACGATAAAGTGAAAGGCATTTGTTGAAACTCTTTATTTTTGTATATAAAATGATTAGATTATTGACTAGTTATTTATTTATTTATTTTTATGATTTTTATTTCTTGTTTAGGAGAGAGATTCAAGGTGTTACAAAATTCTTCTTTGGTGAGAATCTATTCACACTTGTATCTTTTATTTGTATACTTTTATCTTTTAGGAAAAATTATTGCATATGCGGAGGGGAGGAAACAGTGTGACATTGTATGTGGTTATTTTAATTGATTTTTTTATAAAAAAATATATATATATATATAAAAAAATAAAGAAAATGATATGATAATTTGTAATGAGTATTAACAAATAAGGCTTAAATGTCACATCTTCCATATTTTAAGTCCGGGAATACAGAAATTACTCTTTATGTTTAGGGGCCGTATTTCCGAATGACCCCAACTTCTATTTTTTGTTTGTTTAAATTTTTTATTTTTTTATTTTTTTTAAACTTGACTTGGTACCCATCATCACCCTCTTGGAGGCCTGGGTGGTTGGCTTCACTGCTCTCTAGTTTGCACATATCATATGCTTGGTTTTAGATCCATCAAGCAATTGAAAATATGTATATATTAGCTGCTAAAATATGTAAGGGTTTAACAAGGACTAGCCATGGACATGTACACACTTCTTCAATAGCTGTTCATCTCTGAGAAAAGAATTAATAAAAAAAAAAACATTCCCTTCCGATAAAATATTCTGATTCTGCAACTCCATAATATGTCCATTTCAGATGTCGAGCACTTTGAAAGAGTCTGCCACCACTTTGAGCTGGTTTCTCACTCGTCTCCACCGTCTCTCATTTGCTCCCACGATTAGCGTGTAGTATCTCCCTATCCAAAATTCCCAGAATTGAACGTTATTAGAATTAAAAACTAACGAACCATCACATAACAATAGCCACCTAACAATTCACTTGGTATGTGAGAATTAAACCAAAATTCCCAGATTTGGTTATCTGTATTATTAATAAAAAAAATCACATTTTTTTTGTTGCCCACTAACATCACCAACCCTATCAGCAAGGTGTTACACACTACAATACAATAATCTCGGACAATCAGAGAATATTTTGAGTTGGATGGTAAATACAAGTTTATAATTGAAATTCATCATCAGCGGAAAGTTACTAAACTAGAAGCATATAATAATTTGGGAGTTATAGATTAAAACCAAGAAAGTGATATCATCATCTGATGCATTAACCATACCATTTCCAATTGCTATGGTTGCAAAAGCTGCTCGAGAAAAGTTTGGAGATGTAAGTGCATACTCAAAGGTATAATAGTTTTTCCCATCAATTGTTCGCTGCATTCATTAAAATGCCGTAAGATACATATTTGGAGCTCTAAATGATGTCTAATTTTCTTGGTTTAGTTAAAGCAGGGTGGGTGGAAATGTTGCAAACCTCTTGCATGTCAAATACATTTGCCATTTGAGTCGGTGCTGAGTAAACACGTCTAACCAAATTGGAAACAACCTTCCAAAGCAATAAAAACGAGTCACAAAAACATCAATAAAATTCAGAAGGAATAAAAAAGGTGGGATTGTTTACCTCTTCCATAGGGCCTAAATCATGGATATCTCTCTTGTCAGTTGGAATAAAGCTCACCCGAACATTTTGTAATTGCAGATACCGGTCTTTGAATGCAGAATCGTGCCCTCTGAAATCAAATTCCTAAACAACAGACTTCATAAATTCTTTCTAGTGTACCAAAGAGTTGTCGCGGCCTAAATTTTGGCTTCTCTTTGACTAGTAAACATGTAACTTACCCTCCAATCTGAGGGGTAATAGTATGAATAGCCATCGGATTTGTCGACAAAAGCTTCATAGTTTCGTGGTATTTCTATGCAAAAAAAAAAAGAAAAAAAAGAAAAAAAAAAGGCCCAATTAGCAAACATTAATGTGGTATTTCTAAAAAACAAAAATTATGCATAGGATTGTAAGATAACATAAGCGAAATGCCATTCTTCATGAAGATAATGTAATCATAAGAGCTTGGAGAAATGCATTATTCACAAATACCTCCATCTCAATTCAAACTAATTGGATGGGTAGTTTATGATTTGAAGGGAGAATAAAGTGCTCTCTCTCTCTCTCTCTCTCTCAACAAGGCTAGGGGGGTCAAGCATTCGACTCTCCACTTGTCTTTCCTGTGTTGTTGGCTTTGTTATGTGCATATGACAATGTGTTGGACTTTTCTTTTTTTTTTCGTAGTTGAATGAATGTCCTATTTGTATTATCCTACAAATTGACAACAAAAAAACAAAAGGAAAAAAATTAAAAAACCATTACACCTTCAGCAATGAGTGAACTTGCAGGGCATGAACTCAAAGCTAATGCTCCTACTCCCAACAGTATTGCCCTTCTCTTAGAATTTCCTGAAATTTACCATTATATAATCCAAAACAAGAATCAAAACAATCATATCTCACAAGAAGTTAGTTTATACATTCCACCTTTGGCATAACCAGCAATTTTGCATCAAATTTACAACCCTAATTTCAGAATTCACAAGACCAGAAGAATTTGTTATGAAGTAAATTCTTCAAGATATCATTATTACATCAAAGACATATAAGCAAATCCCATGTCACTCATAAAAAACAAGAAGTAAAATACTTGAGCTATGTTTGGATATTGGATATGTGAAGGGATTTGTAGGGAGAAGAAAAAGTGAAGAGATAAAGAGTGGTAATCTTACTGTCTTCATCATAAGTTGTGTCTCCTGAACATGTGATAATGTTTTGTGGAAAAATTGCAGTAACCCTAGTTCAACTGTATGAATGGGGCACATTGAACTGAAAATTGTGAAACATTGTATATAATTATATATCAAATTCACATACATATATTTATATTGAATGAAATTCACATATAGAGCAATTAGGCTGACCCTGTTGGAGGAGGATGATGATGATGGGGCCAAGGTCATTGAGAGTGTTGAAACTGCCATGTCTGACTCTAAGAAGCTGCTCTTGACTTGCTTTTAGTTTGATTAATTTGAAGTGGGTAATGCAAGGATAATAGAGTTTCACTTGCTTACTCGTTAGAGGCTGACAGTTTATTATTTGCAGCCCCAAAAATTGGATAAGAAGCTTTTTTGGACGAGAGGGATGGATGGGGTTTTACACGTGCGTGGCACGTGGCTCAAAATTGTTTGATAGAATTAGGACCATGTAAAATACTGCTCAATCTGTTAAAATCGCATCAATTCATATCAATTCGCACCACTCTATACGCTAATCGCGGTTTTAATTTTAAAATTTATAATCCGATTTCTAAGTCACTCTGCTTTGCTATGTTAACACATATATATTTTAAAAGGTAAATTACAAATACGGGTGCCTCTATTTACACACCTTTTATTTTAAGGCACACCATTAATTAGTTTTTTTTTATTACAATTTTAATCTCAAATAAAATGACCACAAAGGACAAAATATTATCATTTATATAATTACCATAAAAGAAAATAATGAATATAACACACATCAAGAATTTCAATGGATTCTGCATAGTGGAGGCGGACGTGCTGATGCATATTCGGTGAATTGAAGTTGGATGAGAGGAGGCCTAAAGCTCTAAGCCAGCAAGGTTGGACTGAAATGGAATGATCGTGCTTTCTCTGCGGTGGTATCTTGACCTTGGCTCTTTAAGTCACCAAACCTGAATCTCCGTCGGCATCATCATAACCATGCGTCTAGTCCTTCGTTTAGGTCCATTTCCCTCTTCGGCAGTGACAATCATAGAAGCTTCTTTTGTGATTATACTCTCAACCACATTCTGATTCCAACAATATGGCACCAAGACAACAACAACCACAGCCACAAAGAAAAAGAGACCTCAAGACCAAAATTAGCAGTGTTGCGTCTTCCAACAGGAACCTCAAGACCAGTACCTCCAGCAGCAACATACAATTTGTTCGATTGACTAGTGTCGAACAGGCTCCAATGTTTAGGTTTCTAAGTGTCGAACACACAAAATCTGTTCGGCTATCAATAGTCGAACATGTTTGCTTTGTTCGACTCTCTACTGCCAAATACATATAACATTTTTTTTTTTTTGGCCGTTTCCAACTATGTTGAGCGCTACCAACGACGTCTTTGATGAGAAAAAAAGTGTATTGAGCAATGAGTCTTCACCACTGCTTTATTCTGAACATAACAAACGGGTTTTCACCGGTTTAAATAGAGAATAGAGGGGAAGATGAAAGATCGTGGGTGGGTGGGGTGTGTGAGTGAGTGAGGGTAAAGATGGAAGATTGTTAGATTGTAGATGAGGTGTCTGAGTAAGGGTAAAGATGGAAGATTGTGGTGCGTATTGAGCAAAACATTTATCTATCAAATTATTAAAGGTGTGCCCTAAGTAGTGGTTTGCCTTGAAATGGAATGTGGTGTGTAAATAGAGACACCCTACAAATATACCTCTTGAAATTTGATTAAAATACGAATCGCCCCCTGTGATTTTGAAAATTACATTCCACCCCCTGAGGTTCTAACTTTATAACAAATCGCCTCTTTTATTAATAAATCATTAAGTCAATTAACTATTTTTAATGATGTTAAAAATATGCTTCAATTAATAATTTAAGTAATTTTATTATTGTATAGGATAGTAATTATGAATTTCATTTTTTTAGTTAATTTTGTTAAATAAAAAATTCTAATAAAAAGGTATTTGTAATTTTTCAAACTACAGGGGGCAATCTGTATTTTAAGTAAACTTTAAGAGATGTATTTGTAATTTACCCTATTTTTTAACGTATAATGAAATATCAAAGTAAAAATAAATGTGCAATAGTATGTAAAATTTATTACAATTTTATAGTTATATATATGAAAAACATTATATAAAATTAATTTGTATCATATATATGAAAAATATTATGTAAATTAGTGTTAAATAGTATACAAATGTTTGATAATTGGTTATAATATTTTTTAATCTATCAATCTACCCAAAACCGCTCAAACAACAATTTATCAATCCACCATTCTATTTATGATTTTAGTCTCAAATTACTCAAACCACACCCCCCACACACCTCTGTATAGGATGAGGTGGAGGAAATGGTGTTATGCCCTCCATATAATTAAACCATCACATTTCAACTTGAGCCTTTCATCATTCATATGTTGGTTACCTTTTCCTTTTTAACTTTCTATATAAATTTATAATCTAAACATAATTTTAAAATAACCTCTTATTTAAGTTCTCTCTTTCTCATGGGTGGAATATAAAACTCAATATTAAAGAAGAAAATTTGTTTATATTTTGTTATAATAAAAATATGTGCACGAAATTCATACATAATATATTCAAAACATAAAATTTTTTTACAAAAGGAGACATGTAGATTTGAGATAAAGAAATGGGATTTATATGTGCTCCACACATGTTAGGATTTATTTTTAGTTTCATATTTATATCTTATTCTGTAAAAACTTTCTATGCGCTTAGGATTTTTCTATTAAAAAAATAATATATAATTCAAATTCAATTACACTCTTTATCTTAAATAAATTTGCATCATATATTAAATATTTTTTCATGTACAAATTTTATGTACTTTACATTGCTTATTTTGTTGGGAATCAAGGACAAAGTTATGGATTTTAAAATCGAAGAATGTGATTATTGTATGTCGATTAGTGCTAATCCGTTACAACTAATTTCTTTAGTTTTTAAGTTATCTACTCTTTATTTTTGTGCCTTCAAGTAGTCTTTTTTACCAGTTAGTCAAAGGTAAGCAAGGTTTGTAGATATTACCAAATTATTTTATTTATTTATTTATTTTATGTAACATGATAGGTCTTATTATTTTTTTAAATAAGAAAAATCTTTTTTGTATATTAATACACACAGAAACTGATATAAATGAGTAAAATAAATTCGGTGATAAATATATTTTTCTATTAGTATAAAGAGACAAGTGGTTTATCCGATATGGTCTTATTAACAAGTATTTTAATGATACCATTAGGGACAATTCTTGAGTGTGTAAGTGTATACTATATTTAATTGCATATATTTTCACAAATATACGTAAGTTATCTCACAAAATTGTGTAAATTTTTTCGAACAAACGTAAGTTAAACCCATAAAAATTTTAAAAATCACAACTTATGTATATTTATGAGAACTTAAGTAATTTTGTGAGGTAATTTATATATATTTGTGAGAATTTACGCAAGTGCATATGATATGCACCTTACACACCCAAATACTTCCCATATATTTTTTATGGTATACATTTTCCATAACTAATGAATAATTATTGTAAGTTTATTTTAAAAACAATAGTTAATAATTTTTTTAAAATAACTATAATTTTTTTATGACAAGTATTTTTATAAAAAAATATTAAAAAATCTTATTAAAGTTAAAAGCGTTAATATGCTAACATATTGGATTAAATTTTTTTTTTTTGACATGTTAAGAAATCATTTAAACCGTTTGTTTGTGTCACTGATGGTCATAATTAACTGCAAAAATCTATTAATAACTACAAGCAGGATGATGGAGAAATTATTCAATACTCCTGAAACAATACTCTATTCTATCTACAGGTTGAGACCTAAATCAAATGTCTTCTAAAACTCTAATACAAAAGTGATATGTCCTATAATTTAGACCAGGATGATAGTTGATCCGGAAGTTCGTGTGTTACACCCTTTTGTCTTTTATTTTTTTAATTTTTTTAATTTTTTCTAATCCGGTTTGGTGAAAATAGAAGGCAATCAAAAGTAGCATTACTCATGGATCGGTTTTTGACGGTTCAGTTTGTGGTTTGGATCTGTTCGCATGTCTGCGGTTTGGAAAAAAATTGAACCTGCAATCGTGCGCAATGTGGATTGTGGTTTGTGGTTTGTGCGGATAGGGTTCGCGGGTCAAATGAGCGGTTGCGGATAGTTTATGGATTGGATTTTTCCTTCAAAATTTTATTTTTGAGCTTGTTTTTTTTTTTACTATTTTTTAAATATTCTTATTGAGACTTTTCACCCTATTTTTTAAATATTATTTTGGACTATAAAATCACATATTTATTATCACAAAATCATTATTTTCTAAATAATTTATCCCATATAAATTATAGCCTATCTATCCAATTTATTTTCAGAAGAAAACCAACAATAAGTATAGGTTAGATCAATCAATTGACTCACATTCATTTTGTAGAAAAGGTATAAGCTAAACAATTTATACATATACGGGCGGGTGAGTGTGGGTACGAGTAAAATCCGTGACCCGTCTGCATCTCACAAAACAAAAAAATCCTATGTACGAGAGGTTCGGGTTGAATGGTTTTCGTAGGTCGGATAACTCTATATTTAACCCTAATCAAGGGGTTGTACCAAAACCTTAGAATTTACCCAATTATTAATTTCAAAATTTTAAAATTAGTGGATATGTGCTGAACACCAATTATAAAAAATAAAAATAATAATAATAACAACCGGGCCACCACAAACGTCTGTTAGTTATCTCTCTGACCCAAATTCAATTGAAAAAAAGGAGAAATTAATTAAGACAAATGCTTTACTCTAAAGTCAACTCTAATGAGTTGATAGTGAATTTTATTCACTGTGATGTGATGTGATATTTTAATCTTTATTGATTTATTTATTTTCTCCTTAACCAAAATTAGTGATCAATTAAAGCTCAATCTTCACACACTCAAAACACACAATCATAGACCCATCTCTCTCTCTCTCTTTCATATGTAGATTGCATAACCAGGTATGCATCCTCTCTGTTAGTTTTAATGTATAAAGAAAATAAATTATATGTATTGAATGTATTATTGATGTATTTTACAAATGTTGAATTGAGCTCCTTTATAGAGGAGAGGAGCCGAAAGTGGCAATACAATAAAGCAACATTATTAAGGCTAACATCCACTAACATTACAGCTAATACACATCCACTAACATTACAACTAATACACATTTTTTGGTTTCCTTCCTCTACTCTGCTGCCGGTCTCTTCCTCTTTCCTTCATCTTAGGTGACCCTTGATGGCCCTGCCTCAGTGCTTCCCAGCCCACTAAGCCTATTGCCTCCCTGCTGCTCCTCAAATGCAACATATGGCGGCCTTCCGAATCGGACCATGACGGTGGCCTTCCGTTTTAGCTCCTTGTTCTCCGCAACCCTTTTCGTTTGCATCCTCTAACATAGCCGCTTCTCGTGGTTCTCTCACCCTCTTTCCAGACCTCAATGATCCTATAAGCACTCTTGGACTGAGTGCCCCTGCTCCTACTTTTACTTCTCTTAACTTTCCTATGTTGTCAGTTCAGCAAATAATGGCAGCTCAATCTGACATTGAGGCCAACCACTATACCCTGAAGTCATGTGTGGAGACCATGACTGCGGTCACTAACTTGTCTCACCGGCTGCAGAATAAGATGAGTGAGGGGGCAACAGTTAAATGCCCAACTCTCTCTGCGGCAGCGCATGTATAAGGATGCGCGAGTAGAGATTTGCGCGCTGAAGGCGGAGAACAAGAAGCTAAAACGGAAGGCTACCGTCATGCTCCGATTCGGAGGGCCGCCATATACTGCATTTGAGGAGCAGCGAGGAGGCAACGGGCTCGGTGGGCTGGGAAGCACTGGGGCAGGGCCATCAAGGGTCACCCAAGACGAAGGTAAGAGGAAGAGACCGATAGCAGAGTAGAGGAAGGGAAACGAAAAATGTGTGGTTGTTTGATTGTTTGTTTGTTTGTTTTGTTTTGTTTTGTTTTGTTTTTTGTGTGTGTATGTGTAGAATTGTGATTAGGGTTGATCC